GCAATTTTATGAGTGATCGGGTCTGACTGGTGCGTCGCGGCGGCCGCGCAACCTCGCGCAGTCGTGCGCAGAGCGAACGGCTAGTCAGGCGCGACCGGCGCGGCCGCGGTAGAGCTGGCCGCTGGGGCGCCCCAGTGCGTTTCGCCGGCCGCGCTGGTGCGCGGGCATCTCGGCGCCGGTCGGTGACTCGGGCGGGCGCGGTATCATGGCGACGTCGACGGTGGCAGGCGCGGCGGCGATAGTAGCGATGCCGGGGGCGAGGATGACGATGGCGACGGCAAGGCCGCTGACGGCGCCGATGCTGGTCGCGCCGATGACGATGGTGGTGTCCACGTGTCGGTGCCGGGGGCTTTCGGGGGATTTCGACGCGCGCGTGGGCGACGGGCGCGAGTTAAACCGCGCGTTCTTATTTGACGAGGGTCGATCCCCTCCCCCCGTCACGCGCGCAAGGCGCAGGGGCGTTCGAGTGATTCCGACGCGCGCGCGAGAGGCTCGTTCTGGTTGCATTTGGCGAGGGACATGTTGAAAGCCATGGTTTGCTTCAGAACTCGCAAGAGCGCGCGCAGATTCTGCGGCCCTTGACATCTCTGTAACAATCGTGCTTCATATTTTTTTGTTCTTTCCAGTTTCTGGCCCCCCCCCCCTGATTTTTGAAATCCTTGCGGCGCCTTCTGGTTTTTTTGAATGATGTCGGCATGGCATGCGCGCGCGCGCGTGCGCCGCGCCCCGCTCGGTTGCGGGGCATTTCAGACAACTGCGGGTTGGCGATGAGCGAGTGCGCGCGCATAATTTTTTGACGAGGGCGAGGGGGGGGGGGGCGTCGATTGTGGCCTTGCAGGGGCGGTGCTAATTCATTTTAATATGGGGCGATGGGGCAGAACCATATGCGCATTATTACAGATGTCCAGGGTGGGCGGTCAAAGGGGAGTGGGCGGGTGGTAGATCTTAATTCCCGCTTGAGCAGGGGACTTCACTTATGCTCGCTCGTGAGAGTTCAACCCCACTGCTCGCGCAATTACCCTGCCCGCCCACCTGCAACTTAGAGCCCATGCGGCGGAGGTTGCGATGGCTGCTCGTCGCTGGCTGGCGCATGGCTGCGGCCGCGCTGTCGCGCGGGTTCGTGCGCAGAGTGGCTGGCCGCCGGGGGCTTCCCGGCGCGTCTCGCAGGCCGTGCTGGCGCGCGGGCGCTTCTGTGCGAGTCGGCGACTCGGGCGGGCGCGGCTTCGCGGCGTTGTCGACGGCGGCAGACGCGATGACAGTGACGATGTGGTTGACGAGGATGACGATGGTGGCGGCAAGGCCGCTGGCGGCGCCGTTGCCGATCGCGCCGATGACGATGGTGGCGCCCGCGTGTCGGTGATGGGAGTTCTGCGGGGATTCTGGCGCGCGCGCGGCCGACGCGCGAGAGTCGCCTGCGCGGTGTTATTCGATGGCGACGGTGCCCGCCCCCCCCCCGCGCGCGCGCAGGGCGCAGGGGCGTTCGAGTGATTTTTACATGCGCGCTCGAGAGGCTCGTTCTGGTCGCGTCTAATGATGATCATTCTGGAGACCAGTACTTTTCGTGGGAAGTCGCAGGAGCGCGCGCAAGCTTCAGCTTTCTTCAAGCACTCACGTTTGAATTGCAGTTATGTTTCGGGGCCACCGATTTTAAAATCCGTGTGGCGCCTTCGACTTTTGCGTGATTTCGGCGTGCGCTCGCAACGACGCGCGCGCGTGCGTTTTGCCCCGTTCTGTTGCGCTGTGTTTTTGGAGTTGGATGGATGGTTTGCGCCAAGCGAAGATGCTCGCGTATTCTGTCAGTGGCGAGGACGAGGGGGTGGTTCGATGGCGGCTTGGTTGGGGTGGTATGGGTTCAAGTTTATCATGAACGATGGGGCGGAACCAGATGTAAATCGCACATCCCAAGGTGGGCGTTTGATGCGGGGTGGGTGGGTGGTAGATTTTCATTCCTGTTTAGACGGGGGAATTTGCTGATGCTTATTAGTGAGAGGTCAATTCCACCGCTCGCGCAATGATCCCGTCCACCCAGCCGCAGCGTGGTTTGCGAACCCATACGGCGGCCGCTGCGATGACTGCCTGGCGCTCGCTGGTGCATCGTCGTGGCCGTGCTTGCGCGCGCAGGCTCGCGCGCGGGGCGGCCGGCTAGTCTGGCGCGACCGACGCGGCCGCGGTGGCGCTGACGGCCCGGCGCCCCCCTGCGCGCCATGCAGGCCGCGCTGGCGCGCGGGCGCTTCAGCGCAAGTCGCTGACTCGGGCGGGTGCGGTATCGTGGCGACGGCGACAACGGCAGACGCTGTGATCGCAGCGTTGGTAGCTGCGAAGACGACGATGAATGCGGAAAGCCAATGACGACGCCGGCGCTGGTCGCGCCGATGACGGTGATGGTGTCCACGTTTCGGTGCTGGAGGCATTCGGGGGGATTTGGACGCGCGCGCGGCCGACGGGCGCGAGTGGCCCGCGCGGTGTTATTTGACTGGTGTGGCGCCCCCCAGCAAGCGCGCGAGGGCATTCGACGGATTCCGACATGCGCGCGCGCAAGGGGCCCGTTTGGTCGAATGTGTCAAAATATTGAAAATCACATGACATTCGTAAGAACACGCTGGAGTGCGCATGTTTTTGTTTTGACAACCGTGTTGCGACATCATTGGGTCTTGCGTGTTTTCTGCGACCTGGATATTCGAATCCTTGTGTTCTGCGACCTGGATCTTGTTGATGAATGTGGACGTGGGTGGGCGACGCCGCGCGCGTGTGGACATTGCATTTTTTTGAAAGGTAATCGTTGAACGTGGATCATTTTGCGATAAACTAGTGTGCGCGCAGTGTATTATTGGTCAGGGATGGGGGGGAAGGGGTGGGGGACGGAACGCCTTGAGATGTAGTGAGATCATAGGTTGAATTCACGATGGGGCAGAATCAGATGAACATTGCACTATGCCATGGGGATGCGCGAAGGCTGGGGGGTGAGGGTAGTAGATCGCATTTTATGTTGTATGAAAGGATCACCGAAGTTGCGCAACCTATGTGATGCAATTCGCCGTGTCAAGAAGTTGCCAACTCCGCAGCTCGCGTAAGCATTCCACCCGGCCACCCGCAACTCGGTTTGCAAGACCAGCGCGGCGGCGATTTCGATGATTCATTGGCGCTGGCTGGCTGCGGCCGCGCGAACGCGCGCGGGCTCGCGCGCGGGGCAGCCAGCTTGTCTGGCGTGACCGACGCGGCCGCGGTGGCGCTGGCCGCTGGGGACTTCCCGGCGCGTCTCGCAGGCCGCGCTGGCGTGGGGGCACTCCAGTGCGAGTCGGTGACTCGGGTGGGCGCGGTAGCATTGCGACGTCGGCAAGGGCAGACACGATGTGATAGTAGCGATGGTGGTGGCGATGGTGACGATGACAAAGCCGGGGCCAATGTGCAATATATGCGGTGCAGTCTATGCGGTGCAATTCGCCCTGCCGAAATGTAAAGTTTCAGCTCCACTGGTCGCGCAAGCATCCCGCCCATCCACCCGCAACTTGTTTTGCGAAACCCAGGCGGCGGCGATTGCGATGGCTGCTCGGAGCTGGCTGGCGCGTCGCTGTGGCCGCGCTAGCGCGCGCGAGCTCGAGCGCAGGCGCAGAGCAGCCAGCTTGTCTGGCGCGACCGACGCGGCCGCGGTGGCGCTGGCCGCCGGGGACTCCCCGGCGCGTCTCGCAGGCCGCGCCGACGCGCGGGTACTTCAGTGAGGCTCGGTGACTCGGGCGGGCGCGGTATCGAGGCGACGTCGGCAGCGGCAGACGCGACGATGATAGTAGCGATGATGGTGACGAGGACGACGATGACGATGGCGAGACCACGGACGGCGCCGCCGTTGATCATGCCGATGACGTTGTTGGCGTCCACGTGTCGGAGATGGCAAGTTTCGGAATCGTTGGTATGCGCGCGCGGCCGACGCGCGCGAATGGTCCGCATGTTTTAATTTGACAGGGATTGCGCCCCCCCCCCGGGCGCGCGCGCGAGTGCAGCCGAATGATTTCGACGCGCGCGCGAGAGCCCCGCTTGGTCGCATTTGATGACCATGCCGATTTTTTCTAAAAGAATAGAGATGGTACTGTCATGCTCTTTGTGCAGCAAGCTCTCGAGAGCCCGCGCGGACCTTTCGTGAAACGTCTCGTCGCAAAATCCTGTGTTTTTTTGTTGGTCTGTTTTGGGGCAGTCGATTTTGAAACCGTTGTGGAAACAGAAAGGTTTTTTGGCCGCATGCGCGCGCGCGACGCTCGCGTGTGGAATCTGCCTCATGTATTTGGACCAGCGGGTGCGCGCGCAGTGGGATTTGTTTTTGCATGGGGTGAGGGGGGGCTGGGGGGTCGATTCCGGTTTGTCTGGGATGGTACGAGCGCGTGTGCAGCATGAGCCATGGGGCAGAATCGTGTGTGAAGTGCGCATCCCCAAGGGGGGGGGCTCGTAGATCCTGACTCCATGTTAGACAGGAGAATTCACCCTGCCGGACTTGAAGTGGTGAAGTCCACTGCTCCCACAGTCTTCCCACTCGCCCGCTCGCATCTTGGTTTGCGAAACCCATGCGGCGGCGATTGCGATGGCTGCTCGGCGCTGGCTGGCGCATCGCTGCGGCCGCGCTCGCGTTCGCAGGCTTGCGCGCAGAGCGGCCAGCTGACCTGGCGCGACCGACGCGGCCGCGGTGGCGCTGGCCGCTGGGGACTTCCCAGCGCGTCTCGCAGGCCGCGCTGACGCGCGGGCAATTCAGTGCGAGTCGGTGACTCGGGCGGGCGCGGTATCATTGCGACTTCTAGAACGGCAGACACGATGATGATATTTGCGATGCTGGCGACTATACTGACCTCCTCCTCCTCCTCCTCCTCCTCCTCTTTTTTTTCCTCCTCCTCCTCTTCCTCCGTTCTCCCTCCTTTTCCTCCTCCTCCTCCTCGTCTTCCTCCTCCTCCTCCTCCTCCTCCTCCTCCTCCTCCTCCTCGCTCCTCTTCCCTCCCTTCTGGAACCCGTCCCCCGCGCAGGAGGGCCCCCCAGTCTGGGAGCAGTGAGCGCGCGGCGGCCCGCCGCCGCGGCGCCACCAGCGGAGCCGCTTACTCGCAGGCCCTCGGCGGCGTTCTGCGGCCCTCGCTGGTCTTCGGTGGCTTTTTGCTGCCCCAGCAACGGCCCCGCCAGCCGAGTCGCCATCCTGCTAGGCCTCCCATATGGGGTCTGAGTAAACGGGGTCGGAGGATCGCGCCGCATCGCCGATGCATCGGCGATGCGGCTCGATGTGGAGCCCATGTTTCTCCACGCCGGCGTCGCCGATGAGTCGTCGACGTCGGCGATGCATTGCCGATGCGTCGCCGATGCATTGGCAATGCGGCGCGATCCTTCCACCCCATATATTCGAAACCCATCTAGGAAACCTCTAGTCCCTCGGCGACTTTTTGCTGCCTTCGCAGCGGCCCTGACGGCGCCGTCGTCGTCGCCATCGCCGCCGCTGTCGCCGCCGTCGCCGTCGCCGTCGCCGCTGCGGCTGCCGCCGCCGCCGCCGCCATCGCCGACGCAGTCGCCGTCAACGCCGCCGTCGCCGCCGTCGCCGTCGTCGCCGTCGCGGCCGTCGTGGTGTTGGTGCAGGCTGGCGCCCGTCGGGCAGCAGTGCCGTGCGCCCCGCACCCTGGAAGGATTCTGGATATCTGGAAGGATCCTACATATCCGGAAGGGTATCCTGGAAACATCCTGGATATGCTTAGGTATCCTGGAAGGATCCCTGGCTGGTCCCCGGAAGGGTCCTGGACATCTTCTGGAGGGTTTCGGTGCGCCTTCGGTGGGTGGCGGACATCTTCGGGAGGGCCTCGGCGGCTCGTGGCGCTCTTCGGCGGCCTCCCGGTTTTCTCAAGGGGCGGGGGTGGGCGGTGGGTCGCGGACGCTCTCTGTGATTTCCTTGTGACTTTCCGAGGTGTTCGGAGGTACTCGGGAGGATGGGGTTGTGGGGAGGAGGAGGAGGAGGAGGAGGAGGAGGAGGAGGAGGAGGAGGAGGAGGAGGAGGAGGAGGAGGAGGAGGAGGAGGAGGAGGAGGAGGAGAGGAGGAGGAGGAGGAGGAGGAGGAGGAGGAGGAGGAGGAGGAGGAGGAGGAGGAGGAGGAGGAGGAGGAGGAGGACGAGGAGCAGGAGGGAGGACGGATGAAGGAGGAGGGGGGATGGTGGTGGTGGTGGTGGTGGTGGATGATGATGAGGAAAACCGGAGAAGGAAGAGGACCAGGAGCTTGTCTTGGTGAGCCGTTCGTTTGCTTCACGACGCCTTCGGTCATCTCCAGTCGTGTGAGCCCGAGCTGTTCCTCGCATGGATTCGGCGGCTGCTTACATCTCCCTGTCAACTTCAAGCTGAGACTACTTCAGGCTTGCTCTCGGTATCCTCCGGCTCTTCGGGCCTTCGGCCTGGGGCGCAACGCGAGGATGCTTCTTGAACCTCCTCTTCTCTCCACTGGCCTTTGCCCCCCTCCTGCCCACCTTGCTTGCGCTGGGCACGCGCCAACGGCCCGACGGGACGCAATGCGGCGCCTGCCGCGAGCCAGCCTGCCCCCGCAGACGTCTCGCCCGAACTTCCTCGCGGGAGGGCCGAGGAGTGGGGTGCCCCGAGCTGCCGCGCGCGGCCAGCTGGCCCGGCGCCCCGCCCTCTCCCACCACTGGGGGGCTCGCGCAGCCGTGGGGAAAAGTCGGCACTTGTGCGCCCAGGGGCGCCGAGGGTCCGTGCCCTCGGCGAGGCGCCCAGGCGCACGCGTGCAGTGTGCCCGCCGCCCCCGGGCGGCTCGCCCCCCGCCGTCGCCTCCGGCCAGGGCGGCGCGAGCGGGCCGCGACCCGCCTCCCCCCCGCGGTGGCGCGGAGCTCGGGGCCCGTGGTGCGCGGCGCCGACCTGCGCCCTCCGCGCCCTGCGGGCTCTGGCCCTGCGGGCTCTGGCCCTGCGGGCTCTGGCCGTCGGCGTGCCGCTCCACGCGCGCGCGGCGGCGCCGGCGGCGGGCTGGGGGTCTCGGGCCTGGGGGGAGGAGGAGGTCATGAGAGTGACGCGTCCCAGGATCTCCAGGGCCGCCTGCTGTCCCACAGGGGGGGCTGCAGAAACGAGGGCCGCTGAATACTCTGGAGAGCCTGCGAAGCGCATCCTGAGACACTCTCCTGCTGCGACACCGTGCTCGTCCTCGGGGTGGTGCCGCCCCGCCCTGTCGCCAGTGCGGCGGCCCAGCCGCCAGAGGAGCGTGCCTCGCTCGGCGTTCTGGGCACGGGGCGCGGGGCGTCCCTCTCGGCGGGGGGACGTCCCGCGGGGGCGCGGGGACACGGGGCACGGAGGCGGGGTTGCCCTGGGCGGGGCATTTAGTGCCGTTGAAGCAGCCCCCCCAAGCATCCCCGCCCGACGGCCCGTTCTGGCCCCCCATTGCGCCAGAGACCACGCCTCCGCCCGCCCACGCCCTCGCCAGACCCCGCCCCCGCATCCTCACACCCACGCCAGCGCCAACCAGAGCACCCGGAGTAGTCGGGCTTGGTTGTCCTGTGTTTCGCGTCCCATGTCCGCTGCATTCTTGCGGCAATGTCCTGTCGTGTGTCCCCTCCAATCAAACTCGACTATCGAAGACGCCTACGGCGAATCACCGCCGCCCCCAGCCTTTTTGGCAGCGCCTATGTGGCCAAACGTTGGGGCCAGACCTGCCAAGCTATCGGACCATGTGTTCCCCGAATCGGTTTGGAAAGCCTTCGGGGAACACGTGGGCATCTTGAAGGTCATCTTGGCCGTCTGGAGGCCATTTTGACCCTTTCGGGCCTTCTCGGAGGACGTCTTGGAGGGCTCTTGGGCCGTCTTGGAGGCCATCTTGAGCGTCTTGGAGACCTCTTGGGCCGTCTTGGGGGCCTGTTGGGGCCGTGTCTTGGGCCTCTTGGGCGATCTTTGGGGGCACTTGGGCCGTCTCGGGCCTGGCAGAAAAAAAGCAAATGCCACAATCCTTCAAAAACCCATGGGAAATCACTGATTTTGGCCTTTTCGGGCCTTCCTGGAGGCCCTCTTGGAGGGCTCTTGGGCCGTCTTGGGCCATTTTATGGCCATGTTCGGCCGTCTTGATGGGCTCCTGGTCCGTCTGACGCTGTCGGAAGCCGTTTGGGGGGCCTCTATGGGCCGACTTGGGACCCTCTTGGAATGCTCCAGGGCCGTCTTGGAGGCCCATCTTGGGCGTCTTAAAGGCCTCCTGTGCCGTCTTGGGGGCCTCTTGGGGCCGTCTTGGAGCCCTCTTGGGCCGTTCTGGGGCCATCTTGGAGGCCTCTGGGGCGATCTTTCGGCGCTCTTCGGGGGATCTTGGGCCGTCTCGGGCCGTCGGAAGGCCGAAAAGAAGCAAATGTCAAAATCCGTGAAAAACCATAGGAAAATCAATGTTTTGGGCCTCTTCTGGCCTTCCTGGAGGCCCTCTTGGGGGCCTCTTGGGCCGTCTTGGGCCAGCTTCGAGCCAACTTCGGCCATCTTGGTGTGTTCCTGGCACGTCTGACGCCGTCGGTAGCCGTCTTGGGGGCCTTTCTGGGCCGACTTGGGGCCCTCTTGGGACGCTTCGGGGCCGTCTTGGAGGCCATCTTGGGCGTCTTGGAGGCCATCTTGGGCGTGTTGGAGGCCTCTTGGGCCGTCTTGGGGCCGTCTTGGAGGCCACTTGGGCCGTCATGGCGCCCTTTTGGGGGCCTCTTGGGCGATCTTGGGGGCCTCTTGGGCCGTCTTGGGCCGTCGGAAAGCCGAAAAGGCGAAAATGCCAACATCCTTCAAACACCTAAGGAAAATCAATGATTTTGGCCCTTTCGGGCCTTCCTGGAGGACGTCTTGGAGGGCTCTTGGGCCGCCTTGGAGGCCCCTTGTGGGCCTGTTGGGCTATCTGAGGCCGTCTTGGGTACATCTTGGGCCGTCTTGGAGGCATCTTGGGGCCATCTTAGCCGTCTTGGAGGCCATCTTGGCCGTCTTGGAGGCCATCTTAGGCCATCTCGGAGCCGTCTGGAACGGAAAAACTCTTTGCAACCACCTCTGGAAGATCTTTCGGCATCCTCCCGGGACCCCGGCGGGACGCGCCGGAGCCCACTGGGAGAGTTCTTTTGGAAAAGAACCAAAACCAAAATCGTAAGAAGTTCAGCACGCCAGGCACCCCTGTGACGAATCAACAGGGGGCGGCGGATCGAAGACGCCTACGGCGAATCACCGCCGCCCCCTGCCTTTTTGGAAGCGCCTATGTGGCCGAACGTTGAGGCCAGACCTGCCAAGCTATCGGACCACGTGTTCCCCGAATCGGTTTGGAAAGCCTTCGGGGAACACGTGGGCATCTTGAAGGTCATCTTGGCCGTCTTGGAGGCCTCTTGGGCAAGCTTTGGGCGATCTTTGGGGCTTTTTGGGCCGTCTCGGGCCAGCTTCGAGCCAACTTCGGCCATCTTGGTGGGTTCCTGGCACGTCTGAAGCCGTCGGAAGCCGTTTGGGGGGCCTCTATGGGCCGACTTGGGGCCCGCTTGGAATGCTCCAGGGCCGTCTTGGAGGCCATCTTGGGCGTCTTGGAGGCCATCTTGGGCGTGTTGGAGGCCTCTTGGGCCCTCTTGGGGCCCTCTAGGGGCCATCTTGGAGGCCACTTGGGCCATCATGGGGCTCTCTTGGGGGCCTCTTGGGCGATCTTGGGGGCTTCTTGGGCCGTCTTGAGCCGTCGGAGAGCCGAAAAGGCGCAAATGCCAAAATCCTTCAAAAACCAACGGAAAATCAATGATTTTGGCCTCTTCGGACTCTCCTGGAGGACCTCTTGGAGGCCTCTTGGGCCGTCTGGGAGGCCTCTGGGGGGCCTCTTGGGCCGTCTTGGGCCGTCTTGGACTCTCTTGGGCCGTTTTGGAGGCCGTCTTGGACCATCTCGGGCGGACTTGGAGGCCATCTTGGGCCATCTTCGCGATTTTTTGAGGATGTCCCGAGCGAAACGGCCGTTTTTGGGCATTGACAGACGCATTTTGGGAAATGCGCGGGTGGCCGGCGGGACGGGCCGAAGCCCACTGGGGAGTTCTTTTAGAAAAAGAACCAAAACCAA